TCCTCCTCCTCTCCTCATCATCATCATCATCATCATCTTCTAATCTTCGTATTCGTCATTTTCATTTCCTTCTTTACCATTATTTACGTCTACTCTTTTTTATCTGCATTCTCTTCTTAAACATTATCTCTTCTTCTTCGTTCTCCTTTTTCTTCCTTCTATTCCTCCTCCTCATCTTCTACTTCTTTCTCCCTCTCCTTCTCCTCCTCTTCCTCGCCCCTCCGTCTGCCTCTCCGCCGCCAGCCCCGTCGAGCGCCCGCAGCACCTGGCCCGCAATTAGGTTTCGTCCTCGTGCGATGAGCCTCACTTGGGACTCGGAAGACAGTCCCGGCGACGAAACTCCCCTTGGCTTGGCTTTCTTTTTCTCTCTCTCTTTCTGTCCTCTCTCTCTCTTCTCTGCTGTCTGTTGTCTCTTGCTGTCTTCTGTCTGTCTGTCATTGTTCTGTCTGCTGTCTGTCTCTGTCTGTCTCTTGGTCTGTCTGTCTGCTGTCTACTGTCTGTCTGTCTCTCTCTCTCTCTCTCTCTCTCTCTCTTCTCTCTCTCTCTCTCTCTCTCTCTCTCTCTCTCTCTCTCTCTCTCTCTCTCTCTCCTCTCTCTCTCTCTCTCTCTCTCTCTCTCTCTGTATCTCTGTTCTCTCTCTTCTCTCTTCTGCTGTTCTCTCTCTCTCTCTCTCTTCTCTCCTCTCTCTCTCTCTCTCTCTCTCGTCCTTCTCTCTCTCTCCTCTCTCTGGTCGTCTCGTCTCCCTCCCTCTCTCTCTCTCTCTCTCTCTCTCTTCGTCTCCTCTCATTCCTCTCTCTCTTCTCCTCTCTCCTCTCTCTCCTCTCTATCTCTCTCTCTCTCTCTCTCTCTCTGTTTTTTTTTGGGGTGGGGGGTCTTTGTGTTGTGGCATTTACGTAGTTTTTGTTTTCTTTTTCATGCCCCTCGCCCGCCCGTTTATCCTTTCGTTGAGACTTGCCGTGTAAAGGTAGGATTAGACTGGTACTTGGTGGAGGGTGAATAGAAAGATGGATATGAAAACAAAAAACAAAATTAGAAGTGGAAAGTGCGTAGAAAGATGGAAATGAAAAACAAAAAACAAAAATAGAAGTGGAAGGCGCATAGAAAGATGGAAATTAAAAAAAAATTGAAGAAAAAAGATGAAGAGGCGTACGAGTAGTTGGAAGCAGAAGGTCAAATCCGCCTGTGGCCGTAGCGGGATTTACTACTGATACTCAAGCGAGATGAAAGAGTGGCGGCGGAGGGCGTGGGCCGGGTGCTGGGAAGGGTCTCGGCTGAAGAGCCCAGGACGGCGCGTAGGGTGGGGGGCGGGGTGGGGGTGCAGGAGGAATCTGGGGCTGGAAAAAATTGGAACAGGAAGTAGGAAAGACGGATGGGGATAGCAGAGGTGAGGGATTGGCGGAGATGTAGCCTGCGGAGAGTGGAGGAGGCAAGGGAAGGTGATGAAGAGAGAGAAGGGTAAATTTAGAAGAGAAAGAAGGGAAATTGCGCGGTTAGGTAAGGAGGGAAGTAAAGATGATGGCGAGCTAGACATGAACCAGGGTCTTAATGCGAGACTTGCATCATTTTATAAGCAGAAAAAAAAGAAAGGTCATAGCCCTTCCTGCTCAGATTACCCCAGCGAGGCACTCTTATCAATGGGGGGGGGGGATTTATAAGATAAAGGATAACATCAACAAAAAGACATTATTCTGAGGGAAAAAGGAAAAAACGCATAGTTGTCGGGTTTCCAGTGTAACTCCTTCTCCTCCCATCACCCTATGGCAGGTCCATATCCCTAAACAATACTCCTCCCTCTCTCCTTTGCTTGCCTGCATCTCCTTCTTCCCTCCTCTGTCCCCTCCTCCGCTCCCCTCATCTCTATCCTCCCACTTCCACTCAATCTCTATCCTCGCGCTCCCCTCAAATCTCTCCTCCCGCCTTCCCTCATCTCTATCCCTCCGCTCCCCTAATCTCTATCCTAACTCGCTCAGACGGGTATCCTCCCAACCTACTCATGACGCCAATTTAGGCTCGCGGTTTTCCCACACTACGATGATCCGCAATTTCAGGCCCGCAGCACGTCGATGCTCGGCGGCCGATCGCGGGAAGGGGCGGCCGGCGGGGGTGGGTGGTGGGCGGTGTGGGGCCGGGGGGGGGGGGGGGGGGGGGGGGCTGAATTGGAATGAGTGGGAGAGGGATTGGTGGGGAGCGAAGAAAGAGTGTTGGGAGAGATGGAGTGGTTGGAGGAGGAGGAATGGTTGGGTAAGGTGGAATTGTTTGGAGAGCAGAGAACGGTTGGGTGGGAGATGGAAAGGTCGGGAATTGGATCGGCAGAGAATGGTAAGAAAACGGGCGCGGGAGAAAATGAAGTCATTTGAGTTATAGACATAGTCTGGGAGGGAACCGCAACGGGTACATTGGGACTGGCACTGTATTTTAAGGTGAGGAAAATCATGTCGTGTGCCGGAGCTGGTGAAAGTGACCGGGCAGCTGGGAGGAGCGAATAAAACTGATAATCGAGGATTAAATTGATAGATAAAGTCACATAAGTTGGAGGGCGCCGAACTCGTGGGGGATTTTCAAAAAAAATATATCCTTCGCTTGGCATGATGGAGATAATGCAATTGTTGCTCAAACCTCCGGCTTATTCTGTCATCGGAAAATATAATTATCGCTGCACAGCAAAAATCGATCTCGCATTGAAACACAAACACAATCTCTCTCTCTACTCATCTCACGCCCACGCCCACGCCCACGCACACGGGCACTCCTGACACGCACACGCACGACCCCCCCCACACCACACAACAACGGAATATATATTATAAATATATATATATATAATATATATAAATATAATATATAATATACATATATATATATGTCAAAACAAGACCTGATTCCATTCCTGCCTCTCCGCCAGCTCTCCGCCAAGCTCCGCCACGCCCTTTGTAAGAGTGCGATTGGATATCTGCGGCCGAGTCTGATATCTTCTTTTATCGAGCGGCAAGATAAGGGTGTGAAAGGGGTACAACAGGCCGCGCGCTGCACACGAATGAACGTCTTGTTCGAATGTTATGTATTATTAATGACCCGTTTTTTTCGTATTTGATAATTGTTGAATCCACAACCAACATGCGACAGATACCGAGAGAGGGCTCTGCCTTTCTGTTATCGCAGCTGGTGCAGTTTGGGCGTTGTGGCGCTTAACCTATGGAGGATGTCAGACGCAAGAGAATTTAACGTCGTAATCCTTTAACCTTACCTAATGCCCTTGTCTTACGGGCTAATCTATTGCTCTAAGCTTAGAAAAAATCTTTCGTTGCACATTTTGCCCAGGCGCAGGGTAGTTGAGCACAAACTAATTGCTACATAGAAGCAGAAGAGGAAGGAAAGGAAAGAGAATAGGGTAGAGGAGAGAAGATGTTTGCATGTGCGTGCGCGCGCGCGTGTGTACCATGGCTAGATTGCGGATTCGCTGTGGCACTCCCGCCCAATCCGTCGCCCGGACTTGACCTTGCTCTTAATCTTGTTTGTGACGTCTTCGCCGGCGGGGATTTGTGTCTTTCCTGAGGCTCCCCCACGGTCTGCGCCGCCGTTATCTCGGCGTTTCTTGCGCACTTTGGAGAGGAGGATTGCAAGTGCTGCGTGCGTTATAGGTAAACTCAACGTTTTACAACAAGCTTCTGGAACTCGGATGGTTTTATAGGGTAGCATTTCTCGGTTATCGTCTGCCCCCAGCCCCTCTCTCTCTCTCTCTCTCTCTCCTCTCTTCTCACTCTCTCTCTCTCTCTCTACCTACTCTCTCCCCTCTGTCTCTCTCTCCCCCCTCTCTCTCTTCCCCTCTCCTCACGCCACTCTCCCTCTCCAGCACCAACCATCACTGCACCAACATTACTTGTCTGAGGGATCGCCTCATAATTATCCGTATCATGATCTCACTATATCAGCATTCATGTTTTGCCACGGCCGAGTCGCCCATTATTAAAATACTAATACATTATTAACCGTATATTAAGGAAGTAATTTTCATTTCTCACCCGAAGCGCGTAATTAAGCC